GACTAGGTCATAATAAAGTCAATGTGGATAGAAGAGTAAAGATATTCGGTGAAGTCCGTCGATAGTTGGCTAAAAGTAGATGGGCTTGATCGTGGACGTGGTCCATGAAGTAAAGGCTTGATTAGGCGAGCTGGGGCGTCAAGTTGTGTTTCAATGCCAGTTGAGAATCCAGACGTTCGGGGTTTGCTCAGTCAGGCTGGAGGCAACATGTAATCGAGGGCTTGAGCCAGAGAGCAGAACATGACGTCTCGAGGGGCACGTATACCATGGCAATGATCGAATGAAATCACTGAACCGGACAGATCAGAGACGGATCCTGCGGAGCAATAGAGACACTCTGATAGACCTGAAAGAAGAGGATTTGGATCAACAACAGCGGGGAGTGTGAATAGGCCCCACTAATACCAGTTTTAAATGGGCAAGTAAAATGTGTGATAATGAAGAGGTGCTGTGAGGATGTAGGAAAGGTGAATGTCCCAAGATAGAAGAAGAGATACTCAAAGTGACTAGCAGACAATTGGTCACTTATATGAAATGTGTTCACCCTAATCTCGTTAAAAGTGATGCAGGACTGGTAGTCGAAATTGCCCACAATGAGCTTAAACAAAAACTTTCACAAAAGTTGTTCTCATCCAGTTTGGACCTTGAACAGGTCTTATCAACACCCCCAGCGGGAGTCGAGCCGTGACGGTGCAGCGTTAACCACTCGTGGCGTCGTGTCGAGATTATACGCCGTAACGTCATGGTTCGAGTCCCGCTGGGGGTGTTGATAAGACCCGAGCGAGGTCAAGCTGCAGTACATCATCATCTCCATGATTAAACCCGTGTTACCTGAGCAAACAGTGCACATCTCGAGTGGATTATTGGTACATTTGGTCGCAATGCCCGATTTCTGTGACCCAATCCCGCGCTCCAGTCACGGGAGACGGCCGGCCCCAAGTTGCATTTGTCTATTCGCGTCATTTCCGCAACTTTGTCATCCCCTTCTTCCTTCTTGCGATCCATTTGCCTCGGGATCACGACAGATCCTTGATCCATGCGTCTCCTTCTTGCTTGTCTTGATGAGGCTCTTCGTTCTGTCGCCTCCCAGATGATCTCGTGTCCAGTCTCTGCAATGTCTTCCGCGAATTCTGATCCTTCGTTATCCGTTTTCCTGTAGTGCCCTTGATGCTTCTCGATTCGTATGCTGATTTTCCTCTCCGTTTCGCAAATATATTTCTGTCTCGACGTCTTCTGGGTATAAGCATCACCCCCGAGTGGATTCGGTACAGCATCGTGAGTTGCCACGCGTGCCAGGAAGTCACAGAGCAGAGGTAAGATTCAAGGCAAGCTAAGCATAGCCTAACTCACATTTCAAGTTGGGATTGCCGATTAATCAAGCTTATGAATCCTCTTAAGTCAGCTCTCCAAAAAAGATAAAAGGTACTCCAACATCAATCTTCAAAAGCAAGATGTATTCACCCTATTTCGTGTGAAGTGATGAAGGACTGGTAGTAGAATTTTCCCACGATGAAATGGCTAGAGCTGACCTTTCCATTTCATTTCACATAGCCTTGCTTTCCTTAAAGGTCTTTTCATACCGACAGAAGTGGACTGCAGTGTCCTTGGGTCACAGGGCGGATATGAAATTCAAGAAAGGCCAGGCCTTTCCAATATCACATTCTTTGGTGGGATTGTCGATGAGCATAGGTCTTTTTGCTATAACAATCGACCACATTAATTATTTTTACTGAATAAGTAGAGTTTCGAAGCTTCCAGTAAATCATTTTTATGAGATATATTCATTCTAGTTCGTTTAAGTGGATGAGGAACTTGTGGTAGTGGAATTTTTCATAATAACATAAGTAGGCCTTAAGTTTCAATTAAATTTCACATTATAGAAGTGGGTTGACCTCGTTGTCGCAACTTGGTCTTGTTGTCAGGGCGACTATGTAGAACGCACCGAGTCTGTCTGCCATAGTAGTTGTCATGGCTCCCAGCAACTGACAGTTGATTTGATACATTCTCGAACGTTTCGCCGGCATCCTAGTCGGCGAGATTGTATCAAGTCCACTGTCAAATACTGGGAATCATGACAACTACTGTGGCAAACGACTTCGAAACAGATGCGTTATACATATTCGCCCTGACAACAAGACAAAATTGCGACAACGAGATCAACCCACTTCTATAAATTGAAAGGAGACTGCAACCATAACAGTGGCCAAAACATCTTGGTCTTCATATATTCTAAATTTCACATTATTTTATCTCCCAAAAAGAGTCAACTGTGATTTTGGCATCACCTGAACTGGTCTCATTCACACTCTCAACGGGATTCAAATGCGGTTTTTGATAGTTCAACGTACAGTCTCACCACCCTTACCAGCACGTTACACTGCCAAAAAATGTTCCTTGGTCGTAGGGTAGAAGTGTACTTTAATGTGTCGTAGTTAGCAAATCTAATATACTTTTGATTGTCCAATCGACTTTACTAATTTTCGATATAAGTAGTTTCAGAAACCATCATTAGACAACTATCAAATATATTTATTGGTAGCTATGAGACCAGTATTTAGCCTGAATGATAACAACTTTTTGGAAGCAATGTTAAATGAAATTCTTTGGCATCCCGATGCTCATTCATGGCATTTTGTAGTAAAATTTCAACTGTCAGTCCTGAAATCCCTTTAACCAACCTAAGCGAAATAACTTTTTTTGGCAGGAATGATACTGCACACTTGCATAAGTAGTATAACCGAGTGTATTGACAAATATAAGTTGGCCTTAACGAAAATCCCTCCATAAAGTCGATCAAAAGAAGCCTGATCCGTCTTGATAATCCCATTAGCCCTATGATCTCGCGGAATCAATCTGAGGTCATCCTCGAAGAGTGATGAGGATTTGTCATTTTTCCCACACGCTGCGGTGCTGATGGTACGCATCCTCTTGGGCGGCAAGATTGGTCTCGTGAGGCCGACTTAAATCACTAATTTGACAGGCCTATAGCATATCCTCATTTTGGAGACTGAAAGTACACTTAACTTGAAAAAAATACGAAAAAATGTCCTAGACAAGCCGGTCAGATTTGATGGCTGATTTCATGCGGTGAAGAAGTATGGTTATGCGTCCCGACATCAAGTCGAGCATGTATCGTGAGTCTGTCTCTTCGCTACCGTGGGGCTTCAGATGATTAACGGCAGATTCTTGAATTTCTTCCACAATCAAATGAGTCGACTTTATGT